TTCCCTTGATACTGCTGGTCTTTGTTTATTTCTGTAGATATCATAGGTCAAGTTCCCTGGGAAATGGATTCTGAGATGAAGACTTGCAGACAGATGTATTGGGGAATACTCTCAGGATGGAACCTGTGAAGCGGGTGATGGGAATAGGGTTGGGCAGATGGAGAAGTTGACATATGACGTAACTGAACTAGAGGAGTCAGGTGACCCCATGGGGAGCTCTGGGGCTGGGATGACCAATCAGAATTGTGCCCTGGATCAGCCATTGGACACTGGATACCCTTACAGAAGGAAGGGAACCTTAGAAGGCATCTCTCTTTGAGCAAAAGCAAGTCCAAGGGTCTCAACTCTCAATTCTCAATAGTCAACAATCTAAGAAGCTAAGAAGCAGGTAGTGGGACCTCTTGGGGGGGGGGATTGGATGATGCCACCAAACACACAGTTCACAGCAGACCGTGTCTTTAACCCAACTTTGAATCTAAGTTCAAAGCTCTTAACACTACAGCATAGCTGTCTTCATTCAAAAAAGAGACAAATGGAATTGTGTGAACATTTGTTTTCTTTTCTCATAATCAAAAACTGAGGCCATATTTGTACAATGATTCAGACATTTTTCATAAATGATCCAGAGCATGGCAGTGGGCTCAGCTGAATATGGCATTAAAAGATTTGAAATAAAACCCAGTCCAACCAACCAAAAGCAGTTAACTGAATAACCACATGTGGAGAGCCAGACCATTTTAATATCGCGGTCCTCACCAAATATTCCCCTTCACTCAATAGAACAGAACAGTGTGACTTCTAGTTTTCCAGCTTGAGGTGCTGACAAATTGAAAATAAATTAATGTGCAAATAGTGCCATTCCCACTTGAAGGATATTCACCTCCAGGGACAATTATTCCATTTTAGTCAAAATTTAATAAAGTGGATCTTGGAAGTTACTAAAATATTGATTTTTTTCTTTAAAACAACCTTATTTTCTACCATATTTTCCCACTAATGTTATATGATTATCACACAACTTTTAGCTTGATTTGACCTATTTAAACATAGTATTTCCCTTTTGGATTTTACAACTAAATCAGGTGGTACTGTATCTAGTTAGGGAATTTACCTAAGGATTATCAGAAACATACACCAAATTCTTTGTACAAACCAGTCTGAATAGTTCCTTCATCTGTGAACAAGCTGCTGTGACTTTTAAAGTATGTCTGCCAGCATATACACACATTATCACAAGACTTTTTGAACATATAAATCATTGTTCCCAGAACTGTTGACTCCTTCCCTTTTTGTATGCCCCTCCCCCCCTCTAGTCTGCAGAAAGTCAGTCATCTCTGGATTAACCTTGTATGGCTAATGACTAATTTGTAACCTCAGCCCACAACATAATATGGATCATAAGAATTACCGGGGAATCCATTAAAATAGAAAATATCAGAGGTTCATCCTATTTCTAAAGAATCAGAACTTCTGTAGGCAATGCACAGGTAAATGAATAATTAAATGCCTCTTTTTAGAATTCTGTTAATATCACAGCTTAAGTACCACTCACAAACAAATTGTACATTTCTAGCAACAAATAAAGATTTCTAGCTATAGCTATCAGGATAAAAGTGACATTTGAAGTTTGTACTATCTAAGGCTGTGTGCATAATGGCAATCTTTGGGAGTAGAAACAACAGGGTGCATTTCTCAACAGTGATGCATTTGTATTAGGCCTGTTAGAATGGAAACAATATAAATGCAAAGAATGGTAGCTGATCTAAGAAAAATTACTATAGAAGAATTGGTATGACCCAATGATTAAGGGATTTGATTTTGATGCAAAAATCAAAAAGGTAATGAATAGCCATAAAGAAGAATGAAATTATGGCATTTGGATAATTTGGATGGAACTGGAAGCTATCATGTTAAGTGAAATAAGCCAATCCCAAAAAAATCAAAGGCCCCATGGTGTTGGGGTTGTGACTCAGCGGTAGAGCTCATGCCTAGCACAGATGAGGCCCTGGGTTCAATCCTCAGCACCACATAAAAATAAATAAGTAAAATAAAGGTATTGTGTACAACTACAACTAAAAAATAAATTAAAAAAAAAAAGGCCCCAATGTTCTCTTTGATATGCAGAGGCTGACTCACAATGAGGGGAAGAACAGTGGAGGTTCACCTGATTGGATGAGAGGAAGGAATGGTGGGAAGGGAAGAGGAATGGGAATAGAAAAGATAGTAGAATGAATCAGACATAACTTTTCTATGTTCATATATAAATACACAACCAGTGTAACTCCACATCATATACAATCACAAGAGTGGGAAGTTACACTCCATATATGTATGATATGTCAAAATACATTCTACTGTCATGTATAACTAAAAAGAACAACAACAACAACAAAGTAGGACTGGGGCTGTAGCTTAGTGGTAGAGCACTTGCCTTGCATGTGTGAAGCACTGGGTTCAATCCTTAGCACCACATCAAAATCAATAAAGATATTGTGTTCATCTACAACTAAGAAAATATTTTTTAAAAAGGTAGTGAAGGAGTTGAAAGTTATTTCAAAGTGTGAAGAAATGTTGGAAAAATAACTATTGAAAAATTATTGAACAAATAAATATTGAATACAGCACTAACTAAGGTGATAGGGAGGTAACAAAGATAAGAACACCTCATTTAATTTACTTTTTAAAAAAATTTTTATTTTATTTTTATGTGATGCTGAGGATCGAACCTGATATCTTACACATGGGTAGGCGAGCACTCTACTTCTGAGCCACAACCCCAGCCCCCTAGTTTAATTTACTTTAATGAGTATTTATTGAGTACTTACCATATACACAGCATTTTCTTATGTTGTACTAAGGTAAAGTCCCCAAATTTGGATTTACATCAAACATAGCTGGGGAGATATATTTTGTTTATTTTATTTTATATTTTTCTGATGTTGGGGATTGAATGAAGGGCCTAGCACATGCTATGCAGATGCTCTACCACTGAGTTGCACTCCCTAGCTGGGGAAAAATTTTTAAACAAAAGTCTTGCCTGTAATCCCAGTGACTCAAGAGGCTGAGGCAGGAAGATCACAAGTTCACGGCCAGTTGAGGCAACTTAGAAATTAGAATAAAATAAAATAAAATTAGAATAAGTTGTGTGTGTGTGTGTGTGTGTGTGTGTGTGTGTTTGTGTGTGTTGGGGGTGACTAGGAATGTTGTATTCCTAGTCATAAGCTCTATCATACCAATTCTTCTGTAGTAATTTTTCTTAGATCAGATACCATTCTTCGTACTTATATTGTTACCATTCTAACAGGCCTTGTACAAATGCATCACTGTTGAGAAATGCAGCCTGTTGTTTCTACTCCCAAAGATTCTCATTATGGGCTGGGGTTGTGGCTCTGTGGTAGAGTGCTTGCCTAGCATGCGCAAGGCCCTGGGTTCGATTCTCAGCACCACATATAAATAAATAAAACAAAGGTATCGTGTCCACATACAACTAAGGAATATATATATATATGTGTATATATATATATATACACATATACATATATCTATAGACAGATAGAAAGCTAGAGTCTGAAAAAAAAAGATTGCCATTATGCACACAGCTTTGGATAGTACAAACTTCAAATGTCACTTTTATCTTGATAGCCTATAGCCCTAGATTCTACCTCAAGTAGAATAGATAATAGATAGATAAATAAATGAATATATAAAATAAAAATAAATTTCTTGTATTCCACATTAGTTCTGTTAAATCTAAATATCTGGGGGTGAGATTGGAAATCTCTAATGTACAAAGTTCCCCCAAATTATTCTGATGCATCCAGTCTGTGGGCTAGCATTTGGGTCTATTCCTGAGGCCACAAAAATGAGTGAAGTGTGGTATTTGTTTTTAAGGAATGAACAAACCAGCATGGCAAGCTCTATGCTACAGCAACTGTCCTAACTCTGCCTAATATGCCTGACTTCTAAGTTGTACTCATGGTGTTTTCTCCCTCTGAAATGCTTTTTCCTCCTTTCTGCCATGAAAAGATCCATCCTTCAAGATCTATTCAGATGGATCATATTTCACATTCCTTTGTCACTGCCCTCCACCCCAAGCTCATTACACTACCATGTTTCATAAAATTCACATTTACCTGTCCACTTCTCCATCACCTCCTTTTCATTCCTTTTTCAACTTCTTTAGACTGCTCAGATCACTGGATGAACTTTTAACTTTTAATCTCCAGCTCTCCATCTGCCCTCCTACACCATTTAGTCTTTATGGTTCTATTAATTTTGCATGGTTCAGTTAAAACCATTTTTATATTAAAATACCTACAAAGTTAGGGATAAAATGCTCTAGCTGAATGTTCAAAATTCTTTACTGTATGAGATAGAGTCCCCCTGATTGTAAGTGACAGAACTGACTAAGCAGGAAAAGATACGGACAAGTTCACAAAAATTGAAGTTGCAATCATTTCCATTCTTTGCATGATTCTTCTTAAAATTCTCATTCTTAAAGGTCATCTGATGCAACATGGTTCTAATTCTTATTAATAGGAAGACAGGGCATCAACTGAAAAGCCACCTATAAATATACTTACAGGAGAAAGTTCCTTCAAGGCAAAATCAGGGTGTGGTCACCAAAAGGAGAAACAAATATTAAGGAGAAAAATCTATATCTGTATCTACTATATTCCAAAAAGGGTCCCAATCCAATTAAGTAAAACTGGACACAGAGGGGAGGAATTCTGTGCTTTTCTTTTCTGAGACATCAGTGGTCAAAATGGGGACAATAATAGCTCAAGAGTGCTAGTACTTGACTGTCTCAGTTGACTGTCCCCATGTTGGGGAAAGGCAGGCAGGCGAATGGTTTCAGATGTTTTAAACAGTGTGTGCAATGATTCAAGAAGTCACCAGGAGTCATTAGGGTAAAGATAAACTTTTCATATTCATGTAATTATAATGTGCTTCACAAAATACTGAAGAGTTTTTTTAAAAAAATAAGTCAACCCTCATAATACAGGAACAGCCAGAATTTTATTGGGGAGAAAGTCAGTAGGGTAACAGTAGCTTCTGAATTTTTAGGAGGGTAACAAGTCTTCTACTTCCAAGTTCAAGAAAGGCCCGATCATCTCCCGAAGTTCCCACATTGTGCTGCGCCCAAGTATGCTAGGGAGCACCCTCTCAAAGATAAATGTAGCATCCACAAACAGGACGTAACATGAAATTCCAGTGAAGGTGAGGACATAAAACATGATGAAAATTCTCAGTGCACGTTTCCTAGGAGGAAAGAAAACATCTGTGTTAAAAAAAAAAAAAAAAAAAAAAACTCCTGAAGAGAATGCATTGATAGGACTCCCAGCTCCTTGGGGGCTGGGGATATGGCTCAAGTGGTAGCATGCTAACCTAGCATGTGTGAGGCACTGGGTTCAATTCTCAGCACCACATAAAAGATATTGTGTCCACCTAAAACTAAAAAATAAATATTAAAAAAAAAATTGACCTCGGTTTGCATCTGTAAAAGAAGGGGCTTGGAACAGATGAGTGCTCACAGCCCAAACGGGGGGTTGGCAATGGAATCTAATGTGGGACAGCCACAAGGCAACAAAACCCTGGATGTGTTGGGGCTCTTCTCACACTCCCGCAGGTTGTCCCGGCTCTGCCTGTCCTGAGGGGTGGGATGCCTATTGGGGGGCATGGAAAGACACTGGCAGTTAGATTTTTTTCCATGTGTTTTAGTCAGTTTTTGCATCGCTAGGACCAAAATACACATCAAGAACAACCTACAGGAGAAGTTTATTTGGGGCTCATGGTTTCAGAGGTCTCAGTCCATAGATAGCTGACTCCATTTCTCCGGGCTGGAGGTGAGACAGAACATCAGAGGGAAAGGAGCAATGGAGGAAAGCTGCTTAGCTCATCGTGGGGTTGGGAAGCAGAGAGAGGAAGGGGCTGCTGGAGAAACAACCTTTCCAGAGCATGCCCCCAGGTGACCCACCTCCCCCAGCCTCAGTTACCACCAGTAAGTCTCTTCCAACCAGGATGAAGTGATTAGGTTACAGCTGTCACAATCCATTTTCACTTTTCCTCCGAATATTCCTGAGAATAGGAGCTTTGGGGGGATACCTTGTATCCAAAGCATAAATATATCAGGTATCACACAAAATATATCATGATGGTAGGTAGGAATGAAGCTCTGTCACCAGTTTTGTCTGCCACAAGATTTTCCCTTATAAAGTAATCTAAACTTTTTCAAATCCTTTTCTGGGCTGGACACATGGTGTATTTTACTCATTTGATTTTAAGTCCTTGCGTTATTAATTTCTGCAATCTATGACTAGGGCAGAAAATCTAGAAAATCCAGAAAAACATAAAGAAGAAAAGAAATGTCACAGATAATCTAATTACCTAGAGATAAATACTGTAGGATTTATTTCGTAAGAGAAAATCTGGGGCACAGGTAAAGCCAGCTTTGGATCTATTTTGTGACCTAACTCGGTGGATTTTAGAAACCAGAGCCAAGTTTCTTAGCATTATACCCCCTGGCTACCTTGTAGCGGTTGCATAAGTAATTGATTTTACCTCACACATTTATTAAAGAACCAACATTTTAAAGATACTCTGTTAAGAAGGAGCTTTGAGTGCTGCTAACATGAAGTAGAGAGGTCCTGTCCTAAGGGCCCCTAAGTCTAGATTTATTCTTTCTTATGAAAAGGAAAAATACTCACTACCAAAACATATCTAGGGCTGGGATTATGGATCAGTGGTAGAGCATTTTCCTAGTTATGTGTGAGGCACTAGGTTTGAATCTCAGCACCGCATATAAATAAATTAACTACACAAAGGTCCATCAACAACTAAAAAAAAAAAAAAAAATGTAAAAAACTCTATTCTTCCTAACTTCCCAAAACAGTCATCTTTGAAAACATGAAACTAGAATACTTTCTTTAAAAAACACTTTTTAAGTTTTTAAAAAGATGCAAATTTCTGAATTATAGATAACTTGGGAAACAGAGAAAAGAAGAAATTACAATCCCATAGCTTTAATATAAACAATTTAAAAAAATATTTCCTTCCTTTCTTTTCTTATTATTTCCTTTCTTTCTTTCTTTTTTTTCCCTTCTTTTTTTGGTGGTTTTGATGATTGAACCCAGGGCCTTATGCATGCTAGGAAAGCACTCTACCAACTGAGCTTCAACCCCAGCCCCTCATTTATTATTTCTATTGTGCTTTAGGGTTTTGTTGTTTGTTTTTGTATTTTTTTGTTTTCCTTTTTTCCCTTTCTTTTTCTCTTTGTGTCATTCCAGATTTTTTCCTCCCTACAGTGAATTCTCTAGGTATAGATGAACTCATGTTTGTTTTTTTGACACTACTGAATCACTTGATTTTAATTTATAATAACTGAACTTTTAATTTAAAGGCTCTTCAATATTTTATTAAGCAAATATAAGTGTATATAATGTCTATTTTAAAAAGGTCAAACATTTTTCTCTGGAAAACATCATAGCTATTAAATTAAAATAAGACTTTTTAACATCCCCTTAGTGTTTTAAATAATTTTATTCATTTAAAACTTATTTTTATGAGACTAAAAATATTCTTTTAACTTTTGAATACTATCTATTTATTTAATTTTCAAATCTTGTGGTACAAAAAATTTTTCAGTCTTTTCCGAAGTGTTCATATTATTTGTGGTCATTACACAAGGGGTCAGTATAGAAAGAGAATCAAAGGATTGGAGGACAATACCAAGAAGAGGCTACATTCTGAAGCCAAAATAGCACAAAATGATACATAATGATTGAATATTTGCACAAGGTAAACCTCCTCAAAATGTTAGCAATACATAAATACGCTTTAATGGAACTAATATGCATCCAGTTCTTTAACAAAAGAGAGTGAACAAAATCTTAATTAGGATGTAATGATGTGAGAAAAAGATGGTTAATCACCTGGATTATAATCTTCCTATATAACAATGAAGTAATAACTGAGAGACATTTGCTTATTTACTTATTTATGTTTTTGAGAGCTACTTCATATCCCACGAAATCCACCCTTTAAAGTGTATGTGTCAGTGGCATTTAGTTTAGTAACAAGGGTGTACCACCAATGTCACTAATTCCAGGAAAATATCATCTTCCCCCCAAAAGAACCCATATTCACGAGCAGTCACTCTTTCCCTATTCTCTATTATAATGTGCTACTTGCTGTCTGTATGGATTTTCCTATTTTGAACTTTACATAAAAGGTATCATATACATGTCCTTTTGTGTCTGGCTTCTTGTATTTAGCATGTTTTTTTGAGATCATCCATGTTGTATCAGAGCTTCATTCTTTTTTGTGTCTAATACATCATTGTGTGGATATACCACATTTTGTTTATCCATGCATCAGTTAATGAACATTTGGGTTGTTTCTATTTGGGGGCGGTTATGAATAATGCTGCCATAAACATTTATGTTCAGGTTTTTGTGTGGCCATATGTCTGACTGGATCATATATACCGAGGAGTGAGGAGTGGAATTGCTGGGTCACATAGTAACACTGTCGAACATTTTTAGGAATTATCAAACTGTTTTCCAAAGTGGCTGTATCATTTTACAGTCTCACCAACAATCTATGAGGGTTCTGGTTTCTCCACATCTTCTTTAATGCTTTTGTGTGTGTGTGTGTGTGTGTGTGTGTGGTGTGTTGTTTTGTTTTGTTTTGTTGGTGCTAGGGATTGAACCCAGGGGTGCTCTACTACTGAGCTAAGTCCCCAGTCCTTTTTATTTATATTTTTAAAATTTTTAGACAGGGTGTTTTGCTAAGTTGATGAGGGTCTTACTAAATTTTGGAGGATGGTCTGAACTTCTCAATCCTCCTGCCTCAGCCTCCGGAGTTGCTGGGATTACAAGCATGTACCACCACACCCGGCTGAGATGACTGTAGATCATCTTACTGGGTATATAGTAGCATCTCACTATGTTTCAGTGTGGTTTTGATTTGCTTTTCCTTAATGACCAATGACATCAATCATCCTTTCATGTGCTTCATTGTGGTTTTTGACCAGTGTGCTTATTGACCACACATCTATCTTCTTAGAGAAATGTCATATCTAAGTCCTTTGACTATTTTGAAAACTGGGTTATTTTTCTTTTGGATGTTAAGGAGATTTTTATAGATTCCAGATACTAAATCCTTAATTCTGAGAGTTCTGAAAAAGTTGATTCTGATAATTTTCTTCAGGTTTAAGGAAGAGAAAAATTTCTGAGTTTTTTTTTTTTTAAATATTTATTTCTTTAGTTTTTAGGTGGACACAGTATCTTTATTTCACATTTATGTGGTGCAGAGAACTGAACCCAGTGCCTCACGCACGCTAGGCGAGCGCACTACCACTTGAGCCACATCCCCAGCCCTTTCTGAGGTTTTTGCTTCATCATTTTCACTCACTGTACTCCTCATTTATTTATTAATTTGACATTTGCTGAGCATTATAAGAATATTCTATATATGTCCCCAAATGAAGATAAGCTCCCTGCCTTTGTGTATCCCATTGAGTATTACAAGAAAAGAGATCTGCAACACCTGAAGTGCAGTAATATGCTCTTGGCTCTATAACAAGATTATGTGCAAGGTACAGGGTGCACACACTCTGACAACTCAACAACAAAAAGACAACTCAGCTTTTTTTTTTTTTTAAAGAAAGAGAGAGAGAGAGAGAGAGAATTTTTAATATTTATTTTTTAGTTATCGGGGGACACAACATCTTTGTTGGTATGTGGTGCTGAGGATCAAACCTAGGCTGCACGTATGCCAGGCGAGCGCGCTACTGCTTGAGCCACATCTCCAGCCCACAACTCAGCTTTTAAAAGGAAAGGACTTGAGAAAATAGAGTGTTAAAGCTTCTACATGGGTTAGTTGGTTGGAAATGAAGAATCAGAATTCTTTTCTTAGAGGAGAATATTGCTCAGAGTCTTTAGGATAATGTAGCATCTCTAGAAAGAGACCCAAAGAATCAGAATTCACCATATACAGGTCTCCAATACCACACAGGAGAAAGGCATCCTGTCCAGCAACCAAAAGTTTTCAAATCTGCTTAGTGAGAATGTTCCTTTGATGGTGGAGGTTGTATCACAGCTTGATTTAGATAATAGGTAGATAAATCTCATATATAGATAAACGTATAGATATCATATACAGATAAATTTATCCCCCCCCCCAAAAAAAAAGAAAGAAAGAAAGAAAGAAAATCCAGCCCACAAGGGTCCCTCTTTCCAACTCACCATGCTGCAATGTGGGGAGGAGAGTTCTGTTCTAAAGGGGGTGGTGAGGCCTCAGGAAGCAGTGGATCTGTTTCTTCCACATTCATTTCTTCAGAATTGTAAGAATCTGTTTCCCTTTCTTGAATTTGGTACATTCCCAACTTAGTATTCAGCAGAGTCATTTCCTTATAAAAGTTCTGGAAGAGAGAGAAATCAACTTTTTTTTTTTTTTTAAATCATTCTAGCGGTCTCCTAGTCCTTAGTCCTCACCCACCACACCCCAGCCCTGGGGCTCAAACCCAGGGCAGTGCACATGCTAGGCAAGCACTCTTCCACTGAGCTACATCCCCAGGCACTGTTTTGTTTTATTTTGAGATCAGATCTCACTAAATTTTCCAGGAGGGATTAGAACTTGTGATCCTTCTGCCTCACAACTTCCCAAGTAGGGAGACTTCAGGTGCCTGCATGATAAATCATGTGCATGTGACATGAGGAAATCATTGGTAAAGGCATACTCAATAAGAGGGGACTTACACACTCACAGTGTAAGGAAGCACCATAGTAGATAATTAAGTGAAACCCACATGCTAATCTGTTTTTTAAATATTTTTCTAACATATATATATATATATTTTTAAAATATTTCTAAAACATATATATATATATATAGTTGTTTATAGACCTTTATTTTATTTATTTTATTTTATATGTGGTGATGAGAATAGATCTCAGTGCCTCACACATGCTAACCAAGTGCTCTACCACTGAGCTACAACCCCATCCCCCCTGCATGCTAATCTTCATTGGATTATTCAAGCAGGAAGATATCTGTGTACTGAATTAATCTAATTTGTTCATTTATGTAAATACATTTGTAGTCATATTCATTGGGTGACTATTGCCAACTAGGCACTCTTCTAGGATACAGTAATAATAAATACACAAGGAAGGTGCAATCTATTACATGTACGTTTATAGGGGCTATGGAACAAATAACTAAATGCACACATACATTAGATGCTATGGATTAATATACACACTAAAGAGAAAGCTAGGTAATGAAACAGAGAGTAGCTGAAGGTTTGGGGGCATCTATTGGAGATGTGGGATGAATAGGTACCTGTGAGAAGGAAGCAGGTTGATACATTCATTCATGCGTTCACATTTACCTGGATGTGTGAGACTATGGGGAAGGAATTAAAAAATGAAGTCATTTCCTGGCCAGGGGAGAATAAGAGAGGTCTGGAAGACGAAATGACATTTGAACTGAGAACACCCAGAGTGGTAATTCGTGGACATGGAGAAAAGCTCCAGATGGAGGGATGGGAAGTAGAAGCAGCACAGGGGTATCAGCTCAAGAGTGCACCAAAACTGTGAGATGTTCTCTTGGCCTGAAGCAGAAGGCCAGGAAGGGAGAAGGAGATAAGACTAAAGAGAGACTGCAGTGTGGGGTACCTGCAAATTCTAAGGGAACAAATAACCTCTGGGTTAAGATAGAAATCTTGTGATTTATTTGAACTGGTGTATCTGTAAAATCTTACCTCTATTCTTTCAATGAGTTTCTCCTTTAATTCATGAGCTTCATTACAAGCATCTACCTGAAAGGATATCCGTATTTCTGAGCAAAATGAAAATTATAATTTCTGGTTTATACAATAAAATCCCTCATTTCATTTGACACCACTTATAAAGTGTGGGTTGAAATTTACTTTTACTTGGTGAAATTGTTCCTCTTAGAGTAAATTCATGAATTGTTCATGAACTATGAATTGCAAGCTGCCAAAGGATTAGTCAATAGATTACCAAGATTATTTTCAGTACTTTTAAAGTATACATTAGCCACTTGTTATAAAAATCATCTTTTTCTCTATGCAGTACTCCTTCCTTGCTCCTTAGAAAAAAACAAAACAAAACAAAATAAAACTTCCGCAGGACGTTAGTATGTTTCTGAGAAAATAAGAAAGGTTTTTTGTGTGTGTGCTGGGGATTGAACCCAGGGCTTTGTGCACATGAGGCAAGCACTTTACCAACTGAGCTATATCCCCAACCCAGAAAGTGTTCATTAAA